AGCGATATCTCTCTCTTTTACGAGAGGTACAAATCCCGTCTTGACTATCTACAATCCAGCACATGATTCGTTTCGTACATGATACACGCCTTTATAGTCCTCCTGTTACGCAGGACGTTTGACGTATTCAAAGCACGCAACTCCTCATGTTGGATTCTATGGATATCTCAGGTCTTAGGATCCAATCATGGAACCGCCATATGAGATTCAAGTCATGACGCTAGTCCATGTGACAATCTCATGCGGGTCATTCTAATATTCCGTTCTCCAACGAATACCTATGATTGTGATCGTATCCAATACTTATAATCATCTCTATAATCATCAATCACACATCATACTAGTCTTATTATGCCATCATTCCCATAACGACACAAGACTAGGGAGTTTAGTATCATTCATAATGATACATGGATTTCATAACAGATCTAGTATGCAAGAACATGTAATGAATCAAATGCTCTCATAAAAACCAAAGAAAGTATCAATACATCAAATGTATCTAAATAAAGCTCATAAACAGTACATCATAGAGCACTAAACCAACAAATGCCTCGACGTAGATTCGGTGGCTTGTCTCATTGCTAGGTGAACTCGGCCAAACCTCGTCGTCAACTCAGACCGTGTACTGTGATAACATCGGAGCAACTTACCTTAGCGCCAACCCGGTGTTCCATTCGTGCATGAAGCATTTGGCACTCGATTATCACTTTGTCTGCAGCCAAGTAGAAGAAGGCAAACTTCGAGTGTTGCATGTCAGCTCAAAAGACCAATTGGTGGATGTTCTCACCAAACCACTACCTCGGAGCTCCTTTCAAGATCTCTGCGTCAAGCTCGGATTAACCTCCGGCCAACCGACTTGAGGGGGCGTATTGGAATATCTCAGAATATCTTCGTATATCTTTGTAAATCAATTATAGTTATGGAATGCTGGATTATAGGAAACTGATAGTAGAGTCTTACAGATGTATATATAGCCTTCGTAATCATAATAATAAAACATACTCTTAAAAGTTCTATATAAGGTATAGATTCGGTAAAGAGAAAATCTCCAAAAAGTGAGAAACAGAATCAGATTAACCCCTCAAATATTCTCGAATTGTTGCCGTAATCGATAGCCATAGTAGTTTCCCTTGAAATGACGATATCTCTCACCATCCTATCAATCACCAGCCCTAGTTTTCCAATATAACGTGATTCCGGTCAAAATAGTCGACGGTTCCTCTCCTGCCAAATAGCATACGTTACTGCCTGAAAGAGAAGCCTTGCTAAATCCCGCCGCGGCGAATTCTCGCCATCAGTTTAGATTCAAACATCGTTCTTTAAAATATCTCTTATTTAATGGGTCACAAAGCCCAAAACAAAATTCTATGTATGATTATCACTACCTTATTATACAGTTCAGTAATTAATAATGCAGATCCACTTTATTTCATGTTGTCATATGTATAGCTCGTGCCTTCCCAACCATCTCATCAATATGTATGCGCCATTTTTTATTTTGCTTTAAATATGCATATATATATATATAAATAATGTGATTTCAAAAATTCTAACAAATTTTGCATACATCATTATATGTTTATTTCGAAAATAATTTAATCTAAACTTTAGTAATTGAATTTCTTCAGATTTCATATTTAATCATTTTATACACATAATTTAACGAAAAGATGAAATCGTCAACAATTACTAATAATCTTGATCTTTCAAATCAATAGAAGCCAACCTTTGTGTCACCATACCAATGTAAGCTTTTGCAAAAGTAAATCCAACATACCTTGATCGATTTTGTTAACCTTGATTGAAATCACGTTCATCTCCGTCGATGATTAGAATTTAATTACAAAAAACAAAAACTCAATCCTACGATCTAAATGCTCTATGCTCTCTTCGATTTGTATTGTTTTATCTCTTAGTTATTGTCCTTATTTGTATTGTGTTTTTAGCATTGAATCGTTATACTATAGATTGTGTTTTTTTTTTATAAAAATGATACTAAAACATTTTTTAAATGGTTGCCCCTTTACCATTTTTCAGATTAATCCGAAATTCGGAGTGAATGATAATAGGAAATCTAATCAATCAAATTATCAAAAAAAAAAAAAAATTAGAACATCAACTATTGAAGAAAGGTAAAGAAAAATAGATGCACATAAGCATCAATTAAAGTTGGTAACATGATAGAAAAATAATTCACGATATGCCATGGAAGATTGATGCTAAGAACGACCGCATCGCGGAAAACAATGGGTAGGGTTAATTTAATTACCAAAGAGAATAAACCAAAAAAAAAAAAAGAGTAACTATGGACTGAATAGCCCATCTTATTATTCAGGATATTCAAGTGGAATGTTATTGAAAACTGTTACTATTCAAAATTTATGATTACCATATATAGAAATGAATAACATAATATATAAAAAAAAGTTTGTTATATAATACAAAATGTTTAGAAAGATAGAAACAAGATTAAATTATAGCCTTTAGTTTATTGTTCAATTAATTCAGCAGAACAAACAGAAAGACGATGAATGGCCAAGAAATGTCTTCTAATAAAGCCAAAGTGCTTACGCAATCTCTTGCCTCACACACGTATCTTCCCATTGCCTTGCTGTTCAAGGTGCGTGCTCTTCACTTTTCTTCACATACATATATATATATATGCTCCCTCACATTTACCCAAGAAAGTGTGAGCTTAAGGAGTTACAAAGATTACAACTTCCAAATACGTAAGTTTCTTAGCCGTCTGTGAGAGGTCCGAAAGCAATCATGGTTCAGCCTCCTCTTCATTTTGTTCTATTTCCTTTCATGGCTCCTGGTCATATGATCCCAATGGTCGATATAGCCAGGCTCATGGCTCAACGAGGTGTGACCATAACCATCATCACCACTCCTCTTAATGCCAACCGTTTCAAGAATGTCATTAGCCGTTCCGTCCAATCGGGCCTACCCATCAGCCTAGTCGAGGTGAAGTTTCCACACCAAGAAGTGGGTTTGCCCGAAGGTCACGAGAATATTGACTTGCTGGATTCAGAGGGGAACCTACTAGCGTTTTTCAAAGCGGCTAACTTTCTTGGAGAACCCGTCGAGAAGCTCATGGAAGAGATGAATCCTCGGCCAAGCTGCATAATTGCGGATATGTGTTTGCCTTACACCAGCAACCTTGCCAAGAAGTTCAAGATTCCTAAGATCGTCTTCCATGGTATGTGTAGTTTTTCCCTCCTATGCATGCATGTCGCGCGTGAAGCCGGGATCTTCGACACAATAGAGTCTGAAAAGGAGTATGTCTCCATTCCGGATCTCCCCGACAGAGTCGAATTTACAAAACCTCAAATACCCTTACGCACATATGGCGTTGGTGACTGGACAGAGTTCATGGAAAAATTGGTAGAAGCGGATAACAAGTCGTACGGCGTAATCATGAACACATTCCAAGAACTCGAACCCGCTTACGTGAGAGAGTACAAGAAGGCAAGAGAAGGTAAAGTGTGGACAATCGGGCCTGTTTCCTTATGCAACAAGGTAGGGTTGGACAAAGTTGAAAGAGGAAACAAAGCAGCCATTGATCAAGACAAGTGTCTTAAATGGCTTGATTCTCGAGAACCGAGTTCCGTCCTCTACATTTGCCTCGGCAGTCTCTGCAATCTCCCATTGGCTCAGCTCAAAGAGCTCGGGCTAGCCCTCGAAGAATCAAACAGACCCTTCGTTTGGGTTATAAGAGGTGGGAAGAAGTACATTGAGTTACAAAAATGGATTTCAGAAAGCGGATTCGAAGAAAGAATCGGAGAAAGAGGACTTCTTGTCAAAGGATGGGCACCCCAAATGCTTATCCTTTCACACTCGTCAGTTGGAGGGTTCTTGACACATTGCGGATGGAACTCAACTCTGGAAGGGATCACTGTTGGGGTTCCATTGCTTACATGGCCCTTATTCGCAGAACAGTTTTGCAACGAGAAATTAGTCGTGCAGATTCTTAAAACAGGTGTGAGATCGGGGATGGAAGTGTCCTTGAAATGGAGCGAAGAAGAGCAAATAGGAGTGTCGGTCGACAAAGATAGGATCAAAAGTGCAATAGATGAATTAATGGGTGATAGTGTCGAAGCAAAAGAGAGAAGAAGAAGAGCCAAAGAGCTCGGAGAATTAGCCAACAAAGCTGTGGGAGAAGGAGGCTCTTCCCATTCTGACATCACACTGCTCATACAAGACATCACGCAACAAGTGCAGTCCAAAAACTGATGATTTTGTGAATTGTTTAAGAGGAAGCTTGAGAAGATAGTTTTGCGCGCCGTGGTTTTATGCTGTCGTATGTATTTTGTTGAACCTATACGTTTGTACTGATATTTGACAAAGTGTATTTTGAGTTTGTACTGATTTTCTAGTTTTGAATTTAGCATTTGTATTTGAATAAATTTTTTGATATAGTTTGTATTTTTTATGAGTTGTTCGAAGTTTTCAAAATTTTAGATACATGAGATTGGAGTTCAGATACACGATTAATGTCTCGCTACTCGGATCTCAGATATCTAAGAATTCGAAAACGTACATTAAAACCAAATACGCAGATACGAATCTGAGTACGTTGACAACCCAAATACCTAGGATACCAAAGTAGGCACGTTTACGTACGTTCCGACAGTTTGGAAGGACCAAAGTCCATATAATATAGATCATCTATGTCCATTTGTTTGTCGATATATTTATATTTCTATATCATATTAATAAACGTATCGTCACCAACCTTTAAGAACATTTATGACTCTTATAAGAAAAAATATTCACGACCAAATTATCTATAACCAATTTACCAATTGTTTTCAGGAGATAAACATAAAAATGGAGAACAACCCTTAAATATATATATATATAATAAATATTACATATAATATTTTTTCTATAAGTTGGTTTGCTTATTAGTGTATTCATTCTATTATGACGAAAATAGTTTCAAAGAAGAGAAGTTGAATATTCTTCTTCACAAAATGTCACATAACCACATTGACAAGAAATGAAAGATCTTCCATTTGGAAAGTTTCAACGTTTTTTATTTTTTTATTTTTGTTAAAGAAGTTTCAACGTTAGGAGTCACAAGTCATCTTCGTTGACTGAAAGGCTTCTTAGTCGTCAGTTTGGTTTCATACGTTGAATCCAAATTTGATTACTCTTTTGCTTCTTTTTTTTTTATTTATTTCCTGTTTTCATTCACTAGGATATCCACAATTATTATGTCCCAATTTTTCATAATAAAAGTTGAATATAAGAAATTAAATCCGATGTTAGAAGATCGGTGATAAGTCGAACCCGTAAAACTTGACGTCTTGTTATAAAAAACGATATCAAACCCAAAATTTTGAAATAAAAATTTGGTTAAGCCTCAATTAAAAAAAAAAAAGAATGGGTAAAAAACAATTCAAAATATGAAAACTAGGGGCCGTTAATTTGGCTTCAATTTTGAATTTGTAAATCTAGATTATTCGCACATTGGATTTTTGGTTCATAATTTCACGGTTGATTATTTATAATATAATTACAAGTATTTATTTAAAATTATGAAATTACTATTAACATTTTTTAATTTTCTATATTACAAAATAACATTGATATTAATTTAAAATTAATAATTTAATTTATTTTTAAAAAAACTAGAATAAAAAATCCAAAGATATTTCATCTTTTTAAATAAGGATAAACCAAAAAAACATTAACTATTCTACTTAAACAAAAAAAAACTTCTACTTAAAATTCATTACAAAAAACTATCAACTATTACTTTTGAGGAAAAACCATCAACTATTACTTTTATTTAAAAAATAAATTTTATCTTAAATTTGTTATAAAATAATCAAGTATTAATTTAAAAAATATAATATTTATTTAAATTTCTCATACGTAATATTAAGAATTTATAAAAGTATTTATAAACATCACCCTTTTATAATAAATTTGTATATAAAATTTATAATTAAAAATATATTTTCTTGATTGTAAATATTATATTTAAAATCTTGTCATATATTAATATTTGAGATATTATAAATTACCAATTTTATTGTTTATAAAAATTTAATAATTGAAATGTGATGCATAATTACATATAAATTACTTATATAAGATATAATATATATTTTCTAAATAAAAATAAAAATATGGTATTTTTACATATGATATTGTTTAAATTAACAAATTTTCATACATCATATATAAGTTTTTAATAAGATATATATTTGATTTTTTAAAACTTATAGATTTATGTTTATATAATTAATAAGCTATATTTAATTTTCAGTGTAATATTTGTATACAAATTTATTAAATAAAGGATTTATATAAATTCTAAATATTGCAATATGATAATTTTATAAATGTTTTTATTTAAATTTTATAATTTTTACAACAAAATTAAAATATCATTTTTATTAAATAATTTAGATTTGATGTTTTTTTATTAAAATTAACATTTGATGGTTTTTTATAATAAATTTAAAATAAATATTATTTTTAAATAATTTGTATAATTGATGCTTTTTTTTGATAATTTACAAATTTAAAATAAACTGTATTTCAGGTGATAAGATTTACAAATTTAGATAATCTAAAATTTTCGAATATTTTCCTCTAGAAAAACCAAATAGTTCAAATTTTAAAGGAAAAATTCTAGAATAAATCAAATATATTCATTAATTATTTTTAGAATTTTATCAGTGATATATTTTAAACCGTATATAAATATTTGATTAGTTCTAAAATTTTCAGTCACATTACAAATTATTTCTAAATTATTCTTTTCTTCTACATCCCGCATAATTTATTTCATTTCATCCGAATTCACAAAGAGTTAGAATTATCCGTAATAACAGGAGCTATGCAAATGCTCTATTACTCGTAAATGAAACAAAGAAAAATAGAGGAGCTTGTATTTGAGAGAGATAGCGAGGGAATATTTCATCTTATTATTCATAAGTGATCGATATATCATATATAAATAAGTAAGTATTAACTAACAATCCTATATATCAGATACGAAAAGATAAGAATGAGATCTTTGCAGTTGAAACAGACATAACAAACTATAACACTCCCCCTCAAGATGGAGCATGTAATGTATACTTATCTTGCCAACTAAACGCCTGATAACGCAAATCTAGGTGTATAAATAAGCTCAAATAATAAAGAACCTAGACACAGCGAATACCGCAAGGGTACGAATCGACTGTAATACAAGGGTCGAACACAGGAAATAGTTAACTCTAGGAACAAGACTTAAACAAGAATTAGATCAGAAAATATGGAATGAAGTATGTGAATACCGAAAATAAAGCAATAAACAAACTAAGTAAAATCAGATAACTAAACCACCGTAGCTTCGGGATAACCTTAACGTACAGGGATTGTTTCTAAGGATGGAGAATCTACGAACATCGAACTCTAATCGGGGATCTCAAGTTCTAATATCAGATTCAATTCTTTTCTAAATCCACTATCCAATAATTTAACCTATAGATCTCTCAACCTAATAGATTAATATCAAATGCATTATCGAACATTATTACGGTTCCTAAACCGATTAACCTATCTTTCAATAGTCTTAATCAATTCATTCAATGAATTCTTTCCGAATCTAATATCAACTTTCGTTGCAAATCAGAATCTAAGATCAATCAATCAACTGGCCAAGAAGATTAAAAGCAATAAACTCAATTAAATCAAATCGACGAGTATCGATAACGTAGTCTCGGAAAATAAAAACCAAATAAATCTCTACAAGGTTAAATCTCCAGCTACAGTGAAACGACTACTCGCAACCCATAACAACAAACAAGTTCAAATCAATAAAGAGAAACATGGAAAACAGATAGAGAAGAAACTCACAGTGATCTCTCGACGATGATTCTTCAACCTCTGCTTCTGAAAACTCTGTCTTGATTCTCTCTCGAGTTCTCTGGCTTCTGCTGTGATCTCTCGATGATTTCTGAGGCCAAGACATCTTCTATTTATTCGCTTTTCGACTAGACTTCTTCCTTTGCTAAGTTCAGACACAAAATTGGAAGTTTTCTCGTAATGCAACACGACCGTGTCGAATGACAGCACGGTCAGTGTCAATTGTCTAATCAAATTTTTACGCTTCTGCACGGGCTGAACACGGGCGAGCTGCAAGTCGACACGGGCGTGTCAGGATACGACACGGTAGGATCCTGACACGGGCGTGTTAGGATACGACACGGTAGGTGCAGATTGTTCTACTTTCTGGTGTGCAGGATTCCGGTGTATGACCAGGAGTTCTGGGTCTGAAACCTCTTCACCCTGAAATCGAGAACTCCACTAAGCGCAATCGAAAGAAGAAACGACAGCAAAAAAAAAGATGGAGGAACGTGCTATAGTTGCTGAGAACAACAATGACACTTATGGGGCATACCTTCAACCTAAGTACATTCAACAACTTTCATGCATTTGTCGGCCTAACATCGACCGTAACAATTTTGAGTTTCAACCGGCATTCATCAATATGTTGAGACCAACAGATTTTTCTCTACTAGGTACGCCTCATTTCTCAAACTCATTTTATTGTAGAGATGCTCTTAAACTTCATGATCCAGGTTGGCAGAAGATCGATAATCTTCATCCATTAGTCCTATCCGCCAGTTGAGAGAGTTAAAGACCCTAAACAAGCGCTCCCGGGAGGCAACCCGAGTTTATAGGTTAGTTTTTCTTTTCTTTCTTTTTCTTTTTGCATCGGATATCGGTTTGTGTCTCTTATCACCAGGTTGAGTTCTAATGAGGAGCTACCGAGGAGGTGAGGAAGCTAGCTATGCGATTGACGTAGGCAGACGAGCTAAGTATTCTTTTTCCTTCTTGATTTTCTTCTCTTTTGACTCATTTTATTGGTTGCCTCTACTAGACGAGATTTGACACCGAGGACAATGTCCAATTCAAGTCTGGGGGAGGATTCGTCTAACGTCAAACCATATCTATTTAGAGTAGTGTTGCGTGCATTTTTCTCTTATTAGGGTTATGCATTTACATATAATATTTAGGACATATAAGATCACGTGCATAAAACCGTTTTGAGCATTGATGTGATGATCTATGGCATGAGAGAGTAGAAACGTCTTGAAAACATTGTGATCCGTTGAACGTGGTTATGTTTTGTTGAATTGATTGCTTGACCTTTAGGATTGTCTAGAATGGCTTGTGGGATAGAAATCGTTGGTTGGAACCCATGTGACCGATGTTGTCTAGCCAAGTAGAAAAGTTTCTATAAGAACTTTTCCCATTTTTGCTGAAATCGGTAAAGAATATAATCAAATGCATTTTTACTTTTTTATGTGCAGAAAAAGATAGTGAGCATCTCCACACTCCTCTGTCATTATCTCGTCAACGAAAATCGTTCGAGGACATGAGTGTATCAATTTGATGGTTCGGGTCTAAGTTGTGGGTCGGGCTATCCAATAAACAAAATCGATAAAAAAAATTTTGATTAGGAACCCTTCAACTTCAACGTCCTAGGAACCCGAGATGCTAGCAAAAGAAAAAAATCTAGCTAGATGAAAGAAAGAAAAAAAGAGAAGAAGAAAAAGAGTGAATACCGAAAGCGTAGACTAGATACGATTAGGTAGAATGGCATGATAGGTTCGAGAAATATGCTTGGTAGATGATTAAAGTTCTTGGATTGGTTCTTGGTAGCGGTATAGATCCCATAGCTAGGAAAGACTATCCTTTAGAGAGGGAGATCATACTAGACAGACTTGATCATTGTTCACGGGGATCTAGGTCGGATAGAGGTTTCGCTCTCGATTATCATTTTGAGTTATGTCATTGTCTCGCCCTCTTTTCGGACCGCTTTTCACGGAGTATTTGCTCGAGGACGAGCAAAGGTTTAAGTCTGGGAGAGTTTGATAACATGTATTTTGGTGACATTTTGGTATAGGATGTCTAGTGCATTTTACTCGGTTTTGCATATTTATAGGCATTCTAGAGTCATTTGGTCTCGATATTGCTTGGTTGCTTTTTTTGGTGTCAAAACAGGTATTCATGCATAAAAGAGAGCAAAAGGAGTGGAAAACATGGATTGCGGAACATCACAAACGAAACGGGAACATTTGGAGTTGTTCCGGAGAAAAACGTGAAGCCTAAAAAGTCAGATCTTGCAAGTCCAATAACTTCTACTCTACAAGTCCAAATTGTGCGTTATCTACCTCATTGGAAAGTCTCTTCAATATCTACGCATAGACACCAAGTTCGTAAAATCCGACATTGGAGCAGAAAGTTATGAGCAAATCTGTCAAGCATGTTCGAGTTGAAGAATCGACACGGACCATGTTGCATTCGACACGACCGTGTTGTGTCCGTGCTGAAAAAAGTGAAGTTTTGCTCAGTGAATTGACACGGACCGTGTTGTCATTCGACACGGCCGTGTTGATTCAAACTCGCCCGTGTTCAACCCATGTCTAAAGTGCAGATTTTTAAAATTGACACGGACCGTGTTGTATTCGACACGGCCGTGTTGCATTACGGGAAAACTTCCTATTTTGCATCTGAACTTCCGTTTTCAGCAAAGGAAGAAGCCCAGCTACCAAGCAAATAAATAGAGGACGTCTTAGACTCCAGAAATCATCGAGAGATCACAGCAGAAGTTAGAGAACTCGAGAGAGAATCAAGACGGAGTTTCCGGAAGTAGAGATTGAAGAACCGTCGTCGAGAGATCACTGCGAGTTTCTTCTCTATCTGTTTTCCATGTTTCTCTTTATGGATTTGAACTCGTTTGTTGTTATGGGTAGTGAGTAATCGTTTCACTGTAGCTAGGGATTTAATCCTGTAGGGATTTGTTTGGTTTTTATTTTCCGAGACTACGTTATCGATACTCTTCGGTTTAATTGAACTGAGTTTATTGCTTTTGATCTTGTTGGCCAGTTGATTGATTGATTTTAGATTCTGATTTGCAACGAGAGTTGAGATTAGATTCGGAACGAATTCATTGAATGAATTGATTAAGACTATTGAAAGATAGGTTAATTGGTTTAGGAACTGTGATAGTGATCGTTAATGCATTTGATATTTTAATCTATTAGGTTGAGAGATCGATAGGTTAAATTATTGGATAGTGGATTTAGGACTTGAGAGAGCCAAATCTGATATTAGAACTTGAGATCCCCGATTAGAGTTCGATATTCGTAGATTCTCCATCCTTAGAAACAATCCCTGCGCATTAAGGTTATCCCGAAGTTACGGTGATTTATCTATCTGATTTTCGATATTCACATACTTCATTCCATATTTCTTGATCTAATTCTTGGTTGAGTCTTGTTCCTAGAGTTAACTATTCCATGTGTTCGATCCTGGTACTACAGTTGATCCGTATCCTTGCGGTATTCGCTGTATCTAGGTTTTTTATTACTTGAGCTTATTTATACACCTAGATTTGCGCTATCATTAACTCGAGACAGAAGTTTACCAGTCGCAGAAGGAGTGGGAAGAATGCCATCATTTTTCCGAAAGGGTGCAGGCTGAAAACCAGAAGAAGCTAACCGATGTCCACGAGGATAGCCATAGATCTTAAAGCAACGAGACACAATACGTCCGAAAATGCCGCAATGAGAGCACTGAGGTTTGGATTTGTTCTTAACCTGAGATCGAGAAGCATTGGGATAGCTACTCTGTTGTCCAGAACCAAGAGTCTGAGTATGAAACGCCATGGAATCAGATGGAGCAGAGACAAATTTCTGTTGCTCCTCCTGAGAAATCAGATTGTATGCCTTGGAGATGGTTGGAAGAGGTTCCATCATCAAGATTTGCTGACGAGCTAGAGTGTAAGACTCGTTGAGACGCATAAGGAAGCGGACCACGTTACGACGATCATAAAATTCCTGCCAACGCTTGTCAAGGCTGCAAGAACATCCATTGCAGGAACAAGTCGGGAATGGCTCACGATTTTTGAGTTCTTCCCAAAGTCCCGTTAATCGGGTAAAATAAGCATTCAAGTCCAGAGATCCTTGATGCAAATTGTCGATCTTCTGCTGAATATTGTAGATCTTGGAAACATTGTTCTGTTTGAACCGGTTCTCCAAACTGGTTCAAACATCATGTGCATTATCAAGATAGATAATGAGACTGGAAATATCAGCCGAGAAAGAGTTGTTAATCCAAGTGCAAACGAGATCATTACACCGAGACCATAACCCATAATCAGCCGAATCAAGAGAAGACTGAGGAATCGAGCCATCAACAAACCTGAGTTTGTTTTTGGCATTGAGTGCTTTCAGCATCGAGCCGGACCAGTGTTGGGTTTTCCTGGGATCTCAAGAGCGAATCTAATTCCTAAGAGATCAGTTCTAGGGTTTGCGCAGCGGATGAAAAACAAAAATTTTGATGAAACCCTAAAACCTATCATGCATGATCTTGTAGAAACGTTAGAACGCTTACCTCAATCGATCCGGGGCCTGTATCAATCGAAGAACGCGTCTGATCACTGTAGGCAGGAAGAATACCTTGCCCTCTACACGTATCCACACGGCGGAAA